CCTCCACACTTGCTAGCCACGGCCAGGCAACATCCCCAGCTCACAGGATCCAGGAGTACCGGCCCTGAATCCCAGGCCCCAGGGTCAGAACCACGTGTGTGATGGGACTCCCTGGAGGGCAGGGTCCAGCCCCTGCATGTTGGGCTCTTCTGTCCCTTGCCCAGGAAGGCTGGGGAGCCCATGAGCTTTCTGCCAAGACAAGGCAACTCTGGGGAAGGCACCACAGATTACCTCTCCTGATGCTTCCTCCCTCTCAAACCTACACTTTCAGCTCCTCAAGGCCTCCTATCTTGTGCCCACTACCTCCGTCACTATTCACATCCCACCTCACTCTAGCAAACTGTGTGGGGAGTGGGTCCTTAGTAGAGATGAACAGCTGTGGCTCAGCTGGGCCAACAGCACTCAGCAGGGGTCTTGCCCCACTGGCCAGAATCCCTGTGATGCCCAGGCTTCTGAACAGCGCCGAAATCACCGCCCACATGGGCATGGGACTCCCAACCCCATCCAGTGTTCTTCCTGTGCTCAGCCTGAGTGCCTTCATGCTCCCCTCTCCAGCCTCCCAGAGATTACAGTTCCCTACCACCTGGACATTGAGGATGCCACCTACACTCAGCTTTCTGCCCAGCACTGAGTATCAGTTGGCCTCCTGGGCATCTCCCCCAAGCACTGCTGGTCCTGCAAACTGAGCCCATCCAACAACCCTCCACAATACCAGCTTGGTGGGGGCATTGCCTGTGCTTGGTCAACCACTCAGACCCCAACCCCTGTCACTGAGCCTCTCATCTTGCAGCCTTGGGTCCTGTCGGATAATGGAGGCATAACCTATGCCTCATGGGGACCCCAGCCCCATTCCTCTCCTCCTCCACACTCACACTGGCTCCCAGGAAAAATATGTCCCCCTATATACATGTTTTAATGAAAAAAAATTTTTTTGAGACAGAGTCTTCCTCTGTTGTCCAGTGTATTGGCACAGTCTCACTGCAATCTGCCTCCAGGCTCCAGCAATTCACTTGCCTCAGCCTCCCGAGTAGCTGGAACTACAGGTGTGTGCAACCACGCCTGGCTAATTTTTCTGTTTTTAGTAGAGAGGGGGTTTCACTATGCTGGCCAGGCTGGTCTCGAACTCCTGACCTCAGGTAATCCTTCCCCCTCAGCCTCCCAAAGTGCTGGGATTACAGGCATGACCTACCATGCCCAGCCTTAGTGAAAATGTTTAATAATTATTTTTTCAAAAATCAGAATTAAAAAATATTATTGATGACTTTTGTCTCCATTAAAGCCAGGAAAATAGAATTATAAAAAATTCTGTTTAAGTTACAAATAAAATATTTAACCTTAAAATAATGTGACTTTTAACATACCTACTTTTTCAAGTTTTTCAACTATTTAATATTCTGGGTAAAAATTAGCCGTTAAAAATACATAAAACAGTTTAAAAGACAACACATAGAATGATTTAAAAAAATTGAACATCCTATCCCTAATAAGGAATTATTCTCCAGAATATGTAGAAAACCTCTCTAAGACTCAACAACATTAAAATAAGTCAATTCAAAAATGGGCAAAGGACTTGAATAGGCATTTCTCCAAAGAAGATATACAGATGGTTGATAAGCACAGGAAAAGCTATTCAACATCACTAAGCAGTAGGAAAATGCAAATCAAAACTACCATGAGATACTATTATTAAAAAAAAAAACAGGCGCAGTGGCTCACACCTGTAATCCCAACACTTTGGGAGGCTGAGGCACGTGGATCACCTGAGGTCAGGAGTTCGAGATCAGCCTAACCAATATGGTGAAACCTCGTCTCTACTGAAAATACAGAAATTGCGGCTGGATGCAGTGGCTCACGCCTGTAATCCAAGCACTTTGAGAGGCTGAGGCAGGCGGACCACCTGAGGTCGGGAGTTTGAGACCAGTCTGACCAACATGGAGAAATCCCTTGGGTTCTATTGGAGTAAAAAAAGAAATAAATAAACCCCATCTCTACTAAAAATACAAAATCAGTGGGGCATGGTGGCCCATGCCTGTAATCCTAGCTACTCAGGAGGCTGAAGCAGGAGAATCACTTGAACCCAGGAGGAAGGAGCTTGCTGTGAGCAGAGAATGCGCCATTGTACTCCAGCCTGGGCAACAAGGGTGAAACTCCATCTCAAAAAAAAAAAAAAAAAAAAAAAGATAAAATTAGCCGGGTGTGCTGTCATGCCACTGTGGTCTCTGCTGTTCAGGAAGCTGAGACAGGAGAAATGCTTGAACCTGGGTGATGAAGTTTGCAGTTAGCTGAGATTGCACCACTGCAGTCCAGCCAGGGTGACAGAGACTCTGCTCAAACAACAAAACAAAACACAATTCAGAAAATAAGAGTTCACAAGGATGTAGAGAAAGGTGGACCCCCTGTGCACTGTTGGTGGGAATGTAAAATGGTACAGCTGCTATGGAAATTGTTCCTAAAAATATTAAAAATAGGCCGGGTGCAGTGGCTCATGCCTATAATCCCAGCACTTTGGGAGGCCAAGGCGGGTGGATCACAAGGTCAAGAGATCGAAACCATCCTGGTCAACATGGTGAAACCCTGTCTCTACTAAAAATACAAAAATTAGCTGGGCATGGTTGTGCACGCCTGAAGTCCCAGCTACTCGGGAGGCTAAGGCAGGAGAATTGCTTGAACCCAGGAGGCGGAGGTTTCGGTGAGCCGAGATCGCACCATTGCACTCCAGCCTGGGTAACAAGAGCAAAACTCCGTCTAAAAAAAAAAAAAATATTAAAAATAGGCCAGGCACAGTAGCTCAAGGCTGTAATCCCAGCTCTTTGGGAGGCCAAGATGGTCGGATCACGAGGTCAAGAGATGGAGACCATCCTGACCAACATGGTGAAACCCCGTCTCTACTAAAAATATAAAAATTAGCTGGGCATGGTGGCACGTGCCTATAGTCCCAGCTACTCAGGAGGCTGAAGCAGGAGAATCACTTGAACCCAGGAGGCGGAGGTTGCAGTGAGCCAAGATCGTGCCACTGCACTCCAGCCTGGTGACAGACTGAGATTCAGTCTCAAAAAAAAAAAAAGGGATTCACCATATGATTTGCCAGTTCCATTTCTGTATATACACCCAAAATAATAGAAAACAGAGGTTGGTGGTGGGAGAGATATTTGTACACCCATGTTCATAGCAGCATTATTCACAATAACCAAAAGGCAGAAGCACTATTCATCAATAGATGAATGAATAAACAAAATGTGGAATATATACAATGGAATATTATTCAGCCTTAAAAAGGAAGAAGATTCTGGCCAGGCGTGGTGGCTCAAACCTGTGATCCCAGCACTTTGGGAGGATGATATGGGCAGATCACGAGGTTGGGAGTTTGAGACCAGCCTGGCCAACATGGTGAAACCCTGTCTCTACTAAAAACACAAAAATTAGCTGGGCATTGTGGTGGGCACCTGTAATCCAGCTACTTGGGAGGCTGAGACAGGAGAATCGCTTGAACCCAGGAGGCGGAGGTTGCAGTGAGCGGAGATTGCGCCACTGCACTCTAGCCTGGGCAACAGACCAAGACTCCGTCTCAAATAAATAAATTAATTAAATTAAATAAATTAGAAAAAAAAGGGAAGGAGATTTTGACACATGCTACATAGGGATAAACCTTGAAGACACGATGCTAAGTGAAATAAGCCTGTCACAAAAAGACAAAGACTACAGGGATCCACACATCTGAGGCACTTAGAGCAGTCACATTCACAGAGACAGAAAGTAGAATGGTGGGCGCCAGGAGCCAGGGGAAGGTAGGGATCGGGGGGTTATTGTTTCATAGGCACAGAGTTTCCATTTTACAAGAGGAAAGGCGTTCTGGAGATGAACAGCTATGGTGGTTTTACAACATTATGAATGTACTTAACACGGCCAAACTGTACACTGGCAAGTGGTTAAGATAGTAAACTTTTGATACAAGTACTTTTAAAACTGGCACCAAAAAAAAACCCTTAAAACATACATAGCAACAAATAGTTTCCTTTTGCTCCAAGCCCCAATATGTCTTAGCATGCCTCGCATGCCTCTGTTGGATACTCTGTTGGATTTTGATTTTGATATTTTGTTCTTTGGGGTTTTGCATTCATTTCGACTTTTTTTTTTTTTTTTTTTTTTTTTTTTTTTTAGATGGAGTTTCGCTCTTGTTACCCAGGCTGGAGTGCAACGGCGCGATCTCGGCTCACCACAACCTCCGCCTCCTGGGTTCAGGCAATTCCTCTGCCTCAGCCTCCTGAGTAGCTGGGATTACAGACACGTGCCACCATGCCCAGCTAATTTTTTGTATTTTTAGTAGAGACGGGGTTTCACCATGTTGACCAGGATGGTCTCGATCTGTTGAACTCGTGATCCACCTGCCTCAGCCTCCCAAAGTGCTGGGATTACAGGCTTGAGCTACCGCACCCGGCCTCATTTCGACTTTTAAAAAATATTATGCTAATGTTATTTATCTTGGTTACTAAATTTTTTGGCATTGCCTTAAATTTTGCACCCGAGGTGAGTGTGCCTCAACTTGCCTCACCCTAATCCCAGCCCTGCAATTATGGTCCTGCTTCAAGGGCTTTCAAAACTCTCCATCACCTTCTGAGAAAGCCCAGGGCCTCCAACTGGCTTTGGGCACCTGTCCACATCTCTCCCTCCCTGCTCTTGCTCCACTGAATGCCTGTGGCTGTGAGCTCATGTTTCTAGGGTTGGTATCTACTACTGTCCCTGCCAGAATGAGCCTCCACCTTGAAACTCCCTTTTGATCCAAGACTGTCCCTGTGAAACTTTTCCAAAACTCCTCTCTCCTCAACCCGTCAAGAGCCATGAATTGGTCCCATAACCCCAAGAGTGCCCCACCTTGTCAGACAAGGCACTTCTTCCCGGGAGAGGCCATCTTCCCACTTCACGCCCAGCCCAGCACTGGGCACTTAATAAATGCCCATGACTTGTGATAATTAAGCCCTCCACCAAGAAAGGACAGCTGGGGCTGGATGCAAAGGTTTATTGCTGAGTGTGTGCGTCTAGCTGAGGGAGTGTAAATTGTGCCCCAGCCTTACCAGATGGAAGCTCCTTGTCCCCGACTGCAGCACAGGCCCTAGCCCGTGGGCATAAACAAAGATTTGGTGCTGAAGAAGGAGGGAGCAGGGATGTGGGGACATGGGCCTTTGTCCCTGATAGTTCAGCCATGGCTCTCAGCTTCCCGGGGAAGGGAACCCTGAATGGAGGGAGGAAGAGAAGCTTCGGGCAGGGATAAGAGGGTCACCTGGGCTTGCTTGTAACCCCACCTGAGGTAGACCCTTTTGGGCACAGCCAGGGCCTTTGTCCTATCCTGAGTCCTCTGTCTGGGCTGATCGATGGGAGCTGGACTCTGTCCCCAGCCACCCCTCTGGACAGCCCTGTTATTGGCCATAGTTGGTGTCAACAGTACCCTCCCTTAACAGACCATCCTGTTGTCCAGTCAGCCGGGGGTACTATGTGTGTGTGGGGAAGTGGCATGTGGATCTGGCATCCAAGGACCTCTGTCTAAGGATCTGGTGTCCAATGAGCAGATTCTGCTGGAGGAGGGGCTGGGGGTTGCTCTGAACCTGGTATTTGGGGAAGGGTCCTGCTGTGCCTCACCCTGGCACCCAAGGACCCCCAGATCTGCCCCCTCCCCACTAATTTGTTTATGTGGGGACTGCACAGGCCAGAGCTAACTTGGACTCTGGACCCTTTGGAGGGTGCTGGGAGGGACAGTCACTGGTCCTGGGTAGACAGGTGCCAAACTTGTCACATGGAGGTGGCAGGGTGAGCAGCTGGCCTGTGTGTGGGAGGGATATCCCCTGTCTTTGATGAAACGCTGGGAGGGAGGGCTGTTTGCTGAGCCCAGACCCACCAGGTGAGTCGTGGGCTCCCAGGGGCAGGAGAGCTGTGGGAGATTGGTCAGTTGAGCACTGCTGAGTCATGGAAAGCTTCAGCTGCCCCAAGTCCTGCCCATTCCTAGCTGGGGCTGGCTAGTGCAGAGTCCTAGAGGCCAGTGCAGCCAGGCAGTGAAGGGCAGGGCTGGGGTTGGGGGCATGGGATGCTGGGAGACTGTGGGAGGTATGGAGAAGGGTCCGGGCCTCAAAGCTAGCAGGGCTCAGGGCTTTGATGAGGTGGCAGGCTGGGGCCCAGGAGTTCTGGGGGCTGATAGGGTCCTGAGGGCTGGGGCTGCAAGGCAGCTAGGGCTATCGGGTCTCGGGGCAAGTGACATGCATGAATTCAGGCAGCTGTGAAGAGCAAAGGAAACCAAGTCAGCATCCCTGAGACACAAAATAAACGGGTTTAGGCATTGCGTTTTGGGGGCAGCCCTGGAAGCTGAGACACCTGAGGCCTTAGGGCGGGGCCAAAAGAAATTCAATAGATGGGACCTGTGTGAGTGGGGCGGGGCCTCTGTCGGTGGAGCGGAGCCTCGGCTGTGGGTGGAGCCTGAGGTGCTGGGGTGGGGCCTGGAAGCAGTGGGCACCGGAATTTGGAGGTGAGGCGCCAGGGCGTTGGCGTGGGGTGGGGAGCAGGGGCGGAGCTGGGATATTGAGGCGAGGCGCTGGAGAGGGCCGCGACCCACCTCAGAAGAGGCCGCAGTCTTTGAGGTTCTCCTTGATAATGATGTCGGTGACAGCGTCGAAGACAAATTTGACGTTCTGCGTGTCGGTGGCGCACGTCATGTGGGAATAGATCTCCTTCACGTCGCGCCGCATGTTGAGCTCGAGGAATTGCACCTTGATGTAGTTGCCGGCGTCCTCGTAGGTGTTGGGCCCTGCGGGGGCGGGAGCTCTCACTCGGCCCAGCCCTTTCTTCCCCGCGCTGGGGGGGCGCGTGCCGCGATTAAGGGGCGGGGGCGCCGCCTGGCGGCCTTACGGGCGCCTCACCGTCGTAGTCCGGGAAGCAGATGCTGAGGTGCGCCTTCTTGATCTTCTCGGAGAAGACGTCCTTTTTGTTGAGAAAGAGCACGATGGACGTCGTGGCGAAGTAGCGGTGGTTGCAGATGCTGTTGAACAGGTGCAGGCTCTCGTGCATGCGGTTCTGAGGAGGGCAGTGGCTGTCGGGCACCAGGGTCCGCGTCCGACCCGCAACCCCTGCTCTCTGGGCTCCCGGCCCCGGCAGCGCGGGGCTTCTCGTTCAGCTGGCTCGCAGAGGGCGCCCCGCACTGCCCCAGGTGGGCCTGCTGAACGCCTCAGGCCGTCTCGGACGGGCCTCCCCTCTCAGGCCCTCCCCCAGCCCAGCGCTAGGTCTCTGCCTTCAGGGGCCAGCAGCTCCACCTAGCCCCTGGAACACAGACCCTGCCTGGCACGCACCACTTCGTCGTCCTCCACCAGCACCATGTCGTAGGCGCTCAGCGCCGCGATGAAGATGATGCAGGTCACGCCCTCGAAGCAGTGGATCCACTTCTTGCGCTCGGAGCGCTGCCCGCCCACATCGAACATCCTGCGGGGCCGCGGGGGCCTGAACCGGCGCCCCGGGCCCCCTGGGCTTGCCCGCAGGCATCCCCTCGCCCAGTGCTGGTCGGGGAGCTCTCGGCTGGGACTAGCACCCTTTTTGCTGGAGGGGTATCCAGGAAGGGGCAGGGCCTATAGCAGGGACGGGGTTCCCGGGGCGAGACCGGGCCTGGGGCAGTGACCTCCCGGGCTAGCACGCGGATCGTACCGGAAGTTGAGGTCCTTGAAGGAGAACTGCGTCTCGATGATGCCTGTGGTCTTGACTCGCGAGCGCAGTACATCTTGCTCAGTGGGCACGTAGCCTGGGGTTACTAGGCGCTCCAGATCGGAGAGATAGCTGCGCGAGACCCGGCCGCGGTGGGTGGGGAGGCGTGGAGGATTCCCCCCGCACCCCGTGCCCTGAGCTGCCCGCGCGCTCACTAGCCCGCCGAGTCGTTGAGCTGGTACTCCGAGGCGCGCTCAAAACAGGCCTGGATACCGGAGTCCTTCCACAGCCGCTGGATGATGTCCGACATCTCCTTGGGCATCGTGCCCTCCTCGATGGTGTCCGCCATGTGCATTAGCTTCCGGGCGTCGTCCTGGGGACAGGGTGAGAGTGGCTGGTGGCGGCCAGGGACAAGGGTGCAGCCGCGCGCCTTGAGTCCCCAGAGGCCCACTCAGCCCGCCTCCTGGCACACCTGGCGTGCAGAGTCTCCGTACTGGATGTTGAGTGTGGTCATGGCGCGCACGATGGCCAGGATGGACTGCAACGTGTTACCGTAGATGATGGCGATGAACTCGAGGCACTCTTCCAGCGAGTATCCGTCCTGGTGGATAATCCTGGGGTCGAGGCGATCAGGATGAGCCCCTCGTGGGCAAGTGGGGAAGGACCCAGCCCGAGGGACCTCAGGACAGGTAGGGGCACTCACTTCATCTGCTTGACGATGGTGCTCTTCCCGGATTCACCAGCACCTGAAAGGGAGGCGGCGCCTCAGAGCTGCGCTGACTGTCTGTCCCCCGCCCCTCGCAAGGAGGCCGGGAGGACGGGGCCAGCCCGAGTTGACTAGGTGTACCTGCAGCAAAGAGGCCTGGGCAACAGCCCACACCCCATAGTCACACCTACCTCCCTCCCCAACCAAAGTAAGTCCTAACACCCCGACGGCACAAGGTTTGCAAATGTCTGGAAAGTGAAGAAAGGAAGCCAACGAGGAGAATCAACGACATCAACTGGTTTGGGACAGGGGAGGCCCCAAGACCCCGGCCCAGGCAGCTTTTATTATGGTGTGAGAACACAATGAAGAAATTCCGGAGCTCCACCGCCACCTTGTGGGAGCCTCTAGTACCGCATGCACTGGGTTATTTGAGGCGGGTCAACCCCTTGCTTTTCACCTGAAGGGGTGAGGGTGTCTCCGAGAGGCTCAGATGGAATTAGCGCCTTTGGGTAAGAGGGAGGGCAGAGTTGACATCCTTTCCGAGCCTGCCCCTGCGAGGGCGTTGGGCACAGTTAATGAGATTTCTGGCTTAGCCTCTCTGCCTTGGGAGGAAGTGGGGCTGGCTTGGTCCTTCACCCACCTACAGCTGGTTGACCGGACCCTGGGGAGCATGGGTGGAGCCTGCCCTTTCCCCTTGAAAAGTCGGTGACCTTGAGGCAGGCCTGGATCAGCCCCATCTCTCCTCACTACCCATGGTCTGTTGGACACGGCTTTATCTACTCCTGCTGGGCCTCGGCACCCACCCGCCCCTCTGGCGGCTTTGTAGGTCTACCAGTCACAGCCCTTTGGCACCTGAGAGCCATTCTTTGTGGATCTGGATGGCCAAAGAGGCTCCTCACTCCCAGGAGGACTATGCCTGTCCCCTTCCCAAAGGAGCAGCCCAGTAACAGGCTCCCAGTGAGGCCCCTGGCTTCTGAGCACTGCCCAGCAGGTCCATCAAACCAAAGGCTGCAGGGAGCTTGCAGGAGCCCAGCCGCAGAAGAGTCAGCCTCACACATACCCGTACAAGAATGTGGTTGGCATACACCTCTGGGGAGGGTGGGTCACCTGAGGCAGAGCCAGCGGTCTGGAGAGGGGCTTCGTGGGATATCCAGCCTTGAGGGACTAGGACACCACCTGTCAGGCCTGGCCTTGCTTGGCCAGGGCTCCCACCCTGTGCCCTACCCTGTGACAGGTTCACACTGCTTCCCAAGGAACACTTGTTTCACAGAAGGGCTGCCTGCCTGCCTCCAGACCAATGACCTGGTGGCAATGGCCCCACCCCTGGGCTCACACCCCTACCCAGAAGCAGCAGCTTCACGGTTCGAGCATCCTTCTCAGCGTCTTCTTTCAGCTTCTTTTCCAGCTCCCTGGAGTGCTTCTCCTCAGCACTGGCCCCAGCCCCCATGGTCCAGCAGCAGGCGAAGGGACAGAGTGAGCAGGTGGTTCTTCTGGATGGAGGGGATCCCCAGAACCCAGCCTCCCAGGCACCCTTCTGGCCCCAGGAGGACCTGCAATCAACTGGCTCTCCACGGACCTGTGCAGGCCCTGGTGGGGCTGCTTAGTGGGATTTGGGGGCTGGGGGTGTCCAAGAGCCAATTAGAGACAAGGACAGGTGAATCCAGCTCAGCCCTCCCAACCCTTCTAATCAGGCTCGCATAGCCCCAATCCCTCAACAGCTGACTCTGCACCCCTGATGTCCTCCTGCCCCCTCCTGCAAGGAGAGGCCCTACCTCTGCCTAGGAGTAGGGAGACATGTTCGTAGGGGCAGGGCTGAGAAAGGGGAAGACAGACCCTTGAGCCCTGGGGGTGAGGATGATGGAGGTGGGGCTAGCAGCAAGAGGGCGTAATTGAGAGAAGCATGCCTGAACCACCTGCCTCTTGCCAGGCACTGGGCTCAGCACCACTTCTTATCTTGTTCTAAGCTCACACTGGCCCTGGAGGATGGGTGCCCATGTCATCAGCCTCATTTTACTGATGAGGAAGTAGAGGCTCAAAGGGTCACACCACAGGAAGAAGTTAAGAAGGGCTGGGTAATTCTGGACTGGGATTTTTTTTTTTTTTTTTTTAAGACAAGAGTCTTGCTCTGTTACCCAGGCTGAGTACAGTGGCACCATCTTGGCTCACTGCAACCTCCACCTCCTGGGTTCAAGCAATTCTCTGCCTCAGCCTCCTGAGTAGCTGGGAGTACAGGCACCTGCCACCATGCCTGGCTACTTTTTATAATTTTTTTTTTTTTTTTAGTAGAGACAGGGTTTCACCATCTTGGCCAGGCTGGTATTGAACTTCTGACCTCATGATTTACTCGCCTCTGCCTCCCAAAGTGCTGGGATTACAGGCATGAGCCACTGTGCCTAGCCTGGCCTGGGATTTTATGCCCTGCAGGGAATCCAGAGAGAGGGAAATGGTGGACATTGCATTCGTCCCATATCGTGGGCTGGAGTTGCTCTAAGCAGGCCTTCTGCTTCCAATGGACTCTGGTGGGCACACTCTGTGTGCTGGGTGTATGTGTCTTTTACTGCACCAAGCAAGCAATGATTTGACACATTTGTGCATGTATACCTGGGTGTACATGGGTGCCCGTGTGCATGCTTATGTATGTGTGCACATTGTATCTACCTGGCTGCCTTTTAGCACTCAACTCTGCCACAGACTCAAAAGGGGGTGCCAGGACCCCAGACACCAGGCACTAACGGCTGTCTCTAAATAGTATGTGTGGGAAGTGGATGCTGGCTCCTACAGCAGGCTGGCAGCTTCTACACCCACCCTGTTGGATGATGGACATCTGTCCAGGAGTGAGGCCATTTCATTTGTGCCACTTTCAGCCTTTGGGCTCCACCCACCCTCCCTGACCCTAAGGAGTGAGTGGGCTCTGGGGGGGTGGGGGCAGTCTTTGCAGCCCTTTACACTGCCCAAGGGTTTCTCAAACTGAATGTGGTTTCTACATGTTGGGTTTGTTTAAAGTGGGGCCAATCTACTCCCTTCCCAGCCCCCCCCACCTGGCTCCCCAGGCCCACCACATGTGGCTCTAAACCAACCCCCGACCAAGGAGAGAAGCCAAAGTCTAGTCCCAGAGCCAGTGTTTATTAGCAAGATGGAACCCAAAGGCGGCTGTGGCCTGGGCAGCAGAAAGCTGCCGGGAGCCCCCACCCATCTACCCAAATGCCCCCAGAGCTAATTACACCCATCGCTTGAAGTGGTGGACATAAGAGAACCCTGGGGAGCTTCTATTGGCCCCAGGCCTCCACCACGGACCCCCTCCCGTCAGGGCTGGGCCTCCCATCAGGCCTGCCTGGGCCTAGCCCCTCTGCTATGATCCCAGCCTCCAAGTCCAAGCGGCACAGGAAAAGCTAAGGAAGTAGAGTGGGGTGGCCCTGCCCTGGCCAGGCAGGGAGGAGAGAAGGGGCAGAAGGAGCTGCCCCACCCAGGCAGGATGCCTCTTCTCCTATCCCCAATAAATAGAGAATAAATACCCAGGAAGGGGCTGGCCATGGCTGAGTGACCCCAACCCAGGCAGGGGCTGGCATCCTGTGACGGCCCCTTCTTGCCTTCTCTGAGTGCACCTGAGCCCACCCTAGTCTCCAAAGTGGTCCTCGCATCCATGTCTATGCCACAGCACAGGCTGACAGCACACATCAAAAAAGGTGGACAGTCCAAGCCCCATTCAAGTAGGGCTTGCTTTGCTCCCTCCCATTGTCCTGTAGATCTTGGCGGAGGCTGTCGAGCAGGTAGACTTCCAGCTGAGTCTGGGGACGGTATGGTCCTGGCTTGGCCCCACCAACTGGTTGGGCCTGGTTAGGCTGGCTCTGTTTCCTGCCGTCTCTGACCAGCATGGGTCTAAGTTGTGGAGGATGCTGCTGCTGAGGCAGGCTATATTCAACCCACCAATAAATACTGTCTTTGCAGGGGCAGGGTATGTATAGAATATAGATATTTTATATATATATATATATATATATATATATATACACACACATATATATATATATCTTTTATATTAAAAGGGATGAGGGCTAGGCTGGCCCATGACAGGGCTCAGGCAGCTGGCCTCATGTGTCCGGAGGGTGGTGCCGGCGGTTCCGGGGCTTTTTCTGGTCCTGGGACTCAGGAGGCCGGAGTGCCCCTGGAGCCTCCCTAGGGCTGGGGGGCACATGACGCCAGTAACCTTGGCAGTACTGGTGGATGAGGCCCACTTCTGGTTGGGCCAGCAGCTGGGCCAGCTCCTGGTAAGGAGGCGTTGGGGGGCCTGTGCCTGGGGATGGCAGGGCGCTCACAGCCAGTGGTGGGAAAAGGGCAGCATGGACGGCGTCCCGGCCCAGTACATGTAGCTGCACTCGTGTGACAACGTGCTTGAAGTTGTTTTCCGTGGCTGTGCAGGAGTAGAGGCCACGATCACTGAGCTGCAAGGCACGCAGCAACAAGCCCTGCTCTGTGCGCAGGAAACGGTCCTCTGCACGAATCTGCAGGGGCAAGGAGAGGGGGTTCGGGGGTTCTGTGACCACCCCACAGCCATAGCCAGCGACCAGATCAGACCACCTTTGTGGCCATTCCGTGTAGAGGCACCCATATGGAATTTTCATATGCCAGAAAAACCCACATATAGTTTCCACACAATGAGAGCCATTTGAATAAGGCATCTGTACAGATCTCCATTTCAGGAGAGACGACCATAGGAGGTTCTATACAATGAGAAGAGTTTGAAGCGCACACAGAATTTTTTTCTTTTTTTTTTTTTTTTTTGAGACAGAGTCTGGCTCTGTCACCCAGGCTAGAGTACAGCTGAATGATCTTGGCTTACTGCAGCCTCTCCCTCCCAGGCTTAAGCCATCCTCCCACCTCAGCCTCCCGAGTAGCTGGGACCACATACATGACAGTGCCTGGCTAATTTTTGTATTTTTTGGTAGAGAAAGGGTTTCACCATGTTGCCCAGGCTGGTCTCTAACTCCTGACCTCAAGTGATCTGCCTGCCTTGGCTTCCCAAAATGTTGGGGTTACAGGTGTGAGCCACCATGACCAGCCACATTTTCCATTTAATGAGAATATCCAGTTGGGACAACCATATAGAATTTCCATGCAAACAGGGACACCTGTAGGGATTTCCATAAAATGAGGGCCCCACAGAATTTCCATATACTGGAGCTCACCCACATGATGCTTTTGTAGGAGGTACACCCCTAATGCGGTCTATGTATGAAATTTTCATGTGAAGAGGCATACCTAGAAACACTTTCCATATAATGAGGCCAGTCTCATGGAATTTCCACATAACTGTTTTCACTCAAAGGTTTTACTTGTAGGAAAGGGAGCCTGGGAGGGGTTTCACAGCATGGGAGTTGCTCCAGATCACTCCTCTATGTTTCACCAGCCCACAAGGACTCCCACATCCACGGTGCAGCACTGGGCACAGGAACTCACCTCTCGGCGCCGGTCACCAGGATCTCGCTGGAACAGCCACTTAACAGTGGCTTGAGGCGAGCGGGGCTGGCACTCAAGGAAGGCCGCACTGCCAGCCACACCATACTGCACAGACTCCACGGCATTCTTGTTGGCTATAGAGCAAGAGAGGTTGAGCATCGCCTCTGGGTAGTCTGCTGGCTGCTTCAAAGCAGACACCAAGGGGCACCTACTCACCAATGCAGAGCTGTGTGTTGAGCATTCATTCCTTAAGGGGACAACTAGTAACATCCCATCTCCATTATCCCCCACCCCCCTTAGCCATCAGAGCACCCTTACAGTGGGGGCCCTGTGAGCAGCTTCATGGGGTGCATGAGGCTCTGCATTATGAGCAGCACCCCACAGTGAGGCCCAGCACACTCACCATTGGAGTTGAACCCACGGCACTGCCTGATGGGGTTTCCATGCCGGACGTCCTGCCGGCGGCTCCGCCTGGATGGGGATAGCCTCTGAAGGACTACTCCCAGGAAGCTTGCCTGCCCCTAGGTCCCTGTAGCCCCCTGACTCCAGGGCAGGGCCCTTTTTCCCCAGGAAAATGATGTCTTAGCCTTAAGATTCCCCCAGGATAATATATATACCCCCAATCCCCTAGGATAGGGCCCTGGGTCTGGTTGCTAAAATCCCAGGTGTCTAGGGGTCCATACCTCTTGGAGGATGCTGTATAGCGGGAGCAGGCCTGGCCATCCCAGGCACAGTAAGGGTCCCGGGCAAGGCAGCAGTCAGCACAGGCAGCCCCATACGCCTGGCATCGGTGCAGGCTCAGGTGTGTGACTCCCACAGCCGACGCCACATAGAGTTGTTGCTGGGGCAAAGAACAGGGCCTTGTCAGTCCCTGTCCCATAGCCAGCCCCACCAATGGCCAGGTGGGCTGGGCTCCTCTTCCCTGTTCCATGCCTCAGTTTATCCATCCCTGTGCCAAGGGCATGACCCTGAGGGGATGCAGGCCCTGTCCCCATCCCTGGCCCACCTTGCCAAAGACTCACCCTCTTGGAAGAGATGGTCATGGTCTTGACGGGTGCTGGGTCCTAGAAGGAGATAAAGATCAGCTTGGGACTAAGGGACCCCCCCTCCATGCCCTCACCTAGAGGTCAGACTGGGTATTGTCACACCCACCTTGAAGACCTCCAC